CTTCAAAGTCAGTACTCCACACAGAGAATCTGATTTGTGGTGATGGGGGTACCAGGGTGTGTGCGAAAAAGTCTCCTTAGTAGATAGCTGTGCTGTTATTGCTTGAAGGAAATTTCCATTTTCCTCTCTTGTCTTGTAGTTGTGCCATAAGATTTCTTTCCTGCCAGGTGGAGCCATCTGGAAGGCTCATTATGTGACCCCCATCTTCCATCCTCTCGGAGCTGGGGCTTGTTATGGAAAAGGAATTTGCCCATGTTTTGGGGAAGGCGTGACCCATCATGACCCTCCGTTGCTGTTTGATCTTTCACGAGACCCTTCTGAAGCCAAACCTCTGTCAGCTGACACTGAGCCCCTCTTTGACACTGTAATAAAGAAGATTGGAAGAGCCATAGAAGAGCATCGCAGGACACTGACTCCAGTTCCAGAGCAGCTCTCCCTGTACAACATCATGTGGAAGCCGTGGCTGCAGCCGTGCTGTGGGACCTTCCCATTCTGTTGGTGTGATAAGGAAGGTGATAGCACACAAAGTCTGTGAGATGGATGTCTACTAACGTGTCCTGTGGTACCGAGTCTTCTGCTGACAAAGCTATTGGAAAATAATTGTGTCCTTTCTCTGGGAAGCAAAGTGGATGAAAATAAAGAAAAGGAATGTTGATCAGAGATTTTTCCCCTTCGTTCTTCATCACTAGCCAAAGGTCTAAGGAGATCCTGTCTGGTGTGGTAAAGGGCTTGAATGGAGACTGGTTTTGCAGATTTGCATGTAAGTGACGGCTGTAGAGGTATATGCCTAATTTATGCCTGATGAAGGAAAACAATTGGAGAACACTGCAGAGAGCCTAGCATGCAGTGCTGAGCCGGCAGCGGTAAGAAATACTAGACTTGTACAGAACTCTAGGTGTTCGCGGTTGTGCCCCTATAGTCCATAAATCATGGTCGTACTCTATCCAGACATAGTAGTTGGAGTCATTATTGCTTCCTGTACTGCTTTGTTATCTCTGCAGAAATATTGTTGAGAACTTGAGTAACACCTGAGATGGAATGAATCTGACTTAGTGAGGGGTTGTCCTCAAGTTGCAAATAGCTCTTTGAACACATCTGTAGCTTTAGCTGGGTAGGAATAGCCTGTATGACAGACCGTACGAAGCACAAAATATTGATGTGCAGTATACCTCTGCAACAGTTAAAAAAGAGGGAGAAGCATTTTGCTTTTCAGAAAGAGGTCCTGGTGCATGCTAATTTGGCAAACTGCAATTTTATTGCATATAAGATGCCAATAAACATGTTTTGGATTAATAGTTTGCACTGTTTCAATGTCAGTTCTAGAAAAACAAGGTTCATTTGGGAATCATATTGGAATTAATGTTCAGAAATATTCAGTAGCAGTATATATAGGTTTGCAAACTACAGCTTGTAAAAAGGAATCTTGCCAATGCTAGCTTAAAAAAAAAAAACAAAAAAACAAACCCAAACAAAACGAAAAACCTGCAGCGGTGTGACCCTAGCCAGACTTTGTAAGGAGACATGGCTTTGCACTGAAGTTTGCAGTGAAATTGCAGAGATTTTAGGGCTTTGAACTGTATTGATGGCTGTATTTTTTGAGGAATAGATGAAGTCAGAGTTTATTATAAGCATGTAGAACTCTAGAGGAATTGGTGTTCGAATTTAGTAAATGAAAAAAGATTATTTTCATTTGGTTTTTGTGTGGTTGTTTTGTTTCCCCCCTCAAATACCCCTGCAAATGTTTTACTTGCTCAGCCAGTTTAGTTGATTAACAGTTTTCTTCTTATCTCTTAGGTTTTTTTTCCTAAGTGTGGCATAGAAACAATTTTACAAATTTCTATTCGTGTCATTTCAATATTTATGTTCTTCACTCCTCTAAGTTAACTCAGGACATTTGTCAAAGGTAGAAGGGACTATATGAATGCCAGTGTTTGGTTTTTAGTACTCAGACATGTGCGAAAAGCCAGACAGAAATTGGCAGTACAAAGCACACAATGACTCAAAAATTAAGTTTTTGCTGGCAGAGAAGTTGCCTGTGTGCAGCAGTGAGTAAACAGCAGCTTCCTGTGCTCTGGCGCAGTGAAAAAACAGTTAGGAAATACTGCAGGGCTCAAAATGCAGAGATAAAACCATCTCCTTTCTGCTTCATTGTTACAAAGGTCGTCTTCTAAAAGGAAAAAAACAAGTCTTGGTTTAAAGCTAAGTTCTGCTGAAGACAGTAAGTAATCGCAGCTATTACCTCTGTATTGTGTCACTAAGGTAGTGGTGAGGAACAAGATAGGAGATCTCTGCTAGCAGAGTGCCTCCTCTGCTTCCAGATAGTTTTGTTATCAGGGAAAAATTTAAAGGTGTAGGGGTTTGGGGTTGGTTTTGGTTTTTATTTGCTTGGGTTTGGTTTTTTCTTTTTGATTGGTTGGGTTTTTAAGACACGCCAGCAGCAGCAGCATGGGGCACATCTTCAGTAGTGATCACACAGCGAGAAAGATGTAAACAGTCTGGAAAGGCTGACAGACAAGTTAGTCATAATTTGGACCAAAGACAGATGGAAATTAATACTTATGTTATTGGCAACTTTTAAAGGCCCATCTTTCCCAAAGCATGATGTAATTTTTAAGAAATACAGTTTTTTTCTTAAAAAAAAATCTTTGCATTAGAATCATCACAAGCTGTTAAGTAATCATACAAAATAAGTAGTATAGTCAAATAGGTATGAGTAAAAGTAGCCCAATTTGAAAACTTATATCTGATGACTGTACTCCATTATTTTTATAAGTGCAAGGAGGTCAAAAAAATAAAAAACTACTTCCAACTGTGATTATCCCTGCTGTGGATTATACAAATCTGATAGTTTAAGCTGCTTCATCTTTCCATCTCACTGACTCCTACTGACTTCTCTAGAACCAGTGTTAAATTCAGTATATTGAAGTAACTCAGAGGACTGAAATGTCAACAAATGAGAGGTCCTCTAAGTAATTGCTTAAGACCTTTTGAAAGGTAAAGTATATTATAACAGAGTTAAGTTCCGAAAGAAATGTGAGTGGCATGGGGAACGCTAAGCAGTTCTTGGGGTTGGGAAGAAAGTGCAATTAGTATCTTCAGGACAGGCAGGTCTGCCTTTCCTGAAAATGCAACGAAGAGGAAAAGACAACGTGACAGAAGAAAAGGGGGAGGACAGGCCAGTCCTCTTATCCTGCCTGGAAGGCTGGAAAAATAAGGCGGGAGAAACAAAAACCCCAGGGCTCTGAGTGCTGTGTTGTTATTTGTAGCATCTCTTTTGAGGCGTTGAAATAGAGCAGTGACAGGCTGTTACCCAAATCTGCACGGAACTAACTGGATAGGGAATCTAGCAAAGGCAGTATCCATGTGGTGCCAGTATTTCAAGAAAAAAGACTTTGTACTCTGCCTGGAATTCCTGTAAAACCTGCACGGCCATTCCAGTTTGCTGGCTGTTGCTGGCAGGGATCCCAGGCGGTTTCTGTGCTGGAGACTGGGGGAAGGGAGAATAAGAGGAAAAGGAGCGTGTCCCAGCCTACTTCCTCCCACATGCGTCTTGGAGGATCAGGACTGCTTGGCACACCAAGGAGCAAGAGGGATTTCAGAGCAAGAAGAATAATTGAGTCAAGGGTTTGTTTTCCACATTGTTAAAAGGGTTTGGCCTTTTTTATTAGTCTTGATGATCATTTATTGTGGCGTACTGGCTCACAGAGGAAATTACTATCTGATGTTTTCTTGGATTTCTGTAAGTAACTCTGCTGATTTCTAGAGGCTGATGTTAGATTTATGAGTTAAGTTGTTTTTCATTTAACAGCTAAGGAAACTGGACAAGCCCTAGGGACCAGTACTGGGTTCATCACATCCTAGCGATGTCTGTGGGAGCTCTTCTTTCAGAAGGAATCTGCCCCTAACAGAGAAATGTGAATATGCATATTTAAATTGGGGATTTTTAACAAGTTTGGTACTTTTTCTAGTCCTTCATAAGGGTAGTGCTCCTAAAATGGCTTGCAGTAAATCAGGAGGTGCTAATTTTAATCATCCCATAGCCAATGGTATTAAGACCCAAATATCATTAAACACTGCTGCAACTCCCTGGCTCGAAATTCACTGCTTTCCTGAGGCAGGGGGATGTACAAAGTCTCTGCCTAAATACCAGTATACCTGCTGTGACCAGCTGGCTCTGCTGCATGAACCTGTGGGGAGAAAGTGGAAGGCAGCAGAGCTGTTGCACTAGCTTGCAAAGCTTATCAATGCCCGTGGGAAATCAAGGGGTTTCTTAGATGTCCAGATGCATCTGGTTCCTTTGCACCACTACAGCTCACAAGGGCTGTGATGATCCTCAGATACCTGGTGTAGGCTGAGAACACTTTCACTGCAGTAATTTTGGCTTAATAGTGTACCCTGAGCCCTTTAAACACAACATTGCTAACAAGTTGCTGGAAAAGTGGAGCTCTGTCTCCATTGTTAAAGCACTGTAAAAACGTTCCCATTAAAGATAAGGACCAGAGCCATTGCTAGTTCTTCCTTCTTGGAGGTTAAGGCCTTCATGCACTTGCCTGATGGTCACCTCAGCGCTGTCCTATGGGGCCATCGTTCATTGGGGCTTTGGGGGAACTGCTGCCAGGCTGTGGTTCCGAGACACCACTACCATACAAATATAAGATTTGAGCTCTTAGTAGTGCGTCCTTTGCTTCACATTAATACAGGCTGCTTTTCAAGGAATTATATTGGGCTGCTCAACTCAAAGGGCTCTTTCAGCTTTGCCGTGGCAGTTCCACGGCGCTCTGCTGGCACACACTCAGGAACGCAGGGCCTGTGTAACCCAGTCCGGGGAGTCCAGTCCACCTCTGTTGTAGCCAGCCGCAGGCAGCAGGCAATATGATTGCGGTAATGCGGGGCAATTAATGACTAACCTCACAGACAGGATCACCGGAGCTGCTGGGCTCTGATATTTTTTTTTTCTTTAATTTTTTTTTTTTCCCCCACCAGAATTTGGGTAACCGACTATGTACCCGTTTCACACAAGGGGAAGCTGTGAGGTTTACCAGAGAAAGCAATGGTAAGAAATGACGTTCACTGAGGGTCTTCCTGTTTTTTATATGCTGTGCTCAAGAAAATTTAAACAGATCTTCCCCACCTGCCCCTTTTTTTTTTTTTTTTTTTTTTCTTCAGAAGCTCATTGAGAATCAGAGAGCAGTTAATACAGGTTTAGAACTATTGGTCTTTCAAGGCCTCTTACCCTACTTTTACAGGGCATGGAAGTTTAGTAGTATATATGGTATATGTTATAGTATATTTAATAGGCATTTGTCACATTAAAGTATCTATTTATATCTACTGGCTGCCAGTTTATTTTTTAGTGTGTGTATTTTAATTCAGGTGAACATCTGTAAGCTGCCTCTTGCAAATACCACGAGCAACCAAGATATGTGCTGAGATATTCTTAGGGTCTTCTAGGAAGGTAACCGAGGTTAAGCCGGTTGTGGCAACCTTGGTTTTGCAGATGCTCCCGTGGCTGAAGGAGCATTTTCCAGATGCTCTATGTGGCACTGGGTACAGTGGGTGCAATAGCTATCATAACCAGCATGCCTCACACCAACCTCCTCCATGCTCCTGTCCCACTCATTCCAGGAGCCTTAAAAGGAGCGTCCTACACCCCTGCACAAGGGGTGTCTCAGGAGAATTGCAAGCATCCAAGCGCTCGTTCTACTGGGAGCATCTGCTGAGATCAGTGCAAATCTCAATATAGAAGTGCACATATAAGATTCTGTGCGAATAACAAAAAAAAATAAATTTCGGACTTTAGCAAACTCCAGAACTTTAGGCAATATTCAGGAGCTCCATCTGCTGACAGCATTTGGTAGCTGTCTGCCTTTGTAGTGAGTCCTCATAAAACTTTAAGAATAGCAGTTTAAAGTTTATTGAAAAGCTTGCAAATGTTTTTGTAGTATTAACTCTTCACTTTTAATTTCAGGAGCTGCCTAAAAATTTGGTTAATTTTATTCATGTTTCCAAGAACCTGTGTATCAAATCCTTCAAAACCCAATTTTTTACTGATACTGGCTGATGATCTTGGTATTGGAGATGTGGGTTGCTATGGCAATGATACAATAAGGTAAGAACGTATTCCACGAAGTAAATTATCCCTTCCTGGAGAATTTCAGTGGAAAAAAACCCACTGGTGACACTTAGTATTAGAAAATCCACTATTATGCATTAGTTTATCGAAGTACACTTCTTTTCAAACCATGTACCAAATAAACATTCTACAGTAATTCCTAATGGAGTACTAATTACACAGGTCTGCTTAAGCAACTTTCTTGGACTTCTAATCTTCAGCATACACAGTCAGAACTTTGCAAATATGTCTGCGCGCTGTATTTGCCAGGCATGTGTATAATTTATAAGTTTCCTCAGCTCCAGGGTTGAAAAATCAAGGACTGAGATTAGAATTTAACATCAACTAACAACTTTAGAAGGCTTGTTATGAAATGACAGCTCAGTCTATGTGATATATTTATCCCTAGTGCAGTTATTAGTTTATATATAGATTGATTGATAGAATGATTGTATATATATCCTGCATTTAACTATCATAGTCTTGGAAATTGTGTTGCCCTTTATCTATTAATGGAATCTTTTTCACTATGCTACATGAGCTTTTGATATGGGATTGACCTGAAATACCTTTTCTGCTTTTCTTTTAAGTCATAAGTAAAAACATATTTATACATGGAAAATTTATTTCTAAGGAGTCAAGGTGTCTCAAAAAATATATATAACAGAACTTTCCTAGTTGAACTGTAGATAAAAGAGGGTTCTGTAAATTTGATGGTGATGTCCTCCACAAAACTAGGAGGAATGGGATACCACAAACTTCTGTGTAATACATTTTTATCAGAGATGGGATTTTTCTCTTTAGGACCCCTAACATTGATGGCCTGGCAAATGAAGGAGTGAGACTTACTCAGCACATTGCTGCAGCTGCTGTCTGTACTCCAAGCAGAGCAGCTTTCCTGACTGGCAGATATCCCATCAGATCAGGTTGGGCCTCTCTTTAATGGTTCACTGCAGTTTGTCTAGCCATTGTTGCTATTAAAAATCCCCTTAAATAAGCCATTTTAAAGACTAGTTAATCTAAGGATTTGGGGTCTCAGTGAGATGGGCAAAAATGAAGATGACTAGACGTAGCGATTGATTTCTATGGGAAAATCCCCAAATAATGCACATTTAATGCGGCTAAATGACAACACAGAAATGGGTGAAAATCCAAACAACACAAAGCACCCAGAGGTAGAAACATGAAGAATAAAATTTTGTAAACACTGTATGTTCGGTGGTATTAAGATTATATTAAGTAAAGTGTAATATTTTGACTATCCTGGCAAACTTTTTCATAGTGAAATGTGTCAGACTGTGGAATAGTTCTCAACAATTATTTTTTAGAACAGATTTACTTTAGCCATGTAAATTCATGACAGAAAACTTTAGCCACCGCATATGGCCATAATAATCAGTGTAGCTCCTCTGATGTGATTCTGACTTGCTAAAGGACAAATGTAATCATGAACTGTACATTTCAGAAGCGTGTCTCCCTGACTCTATAAGCCTTTTGTTCTATATAAAACTTTTCTTTTTTTTTTTCTTTTTTTCTTTTTTTAACATTATATTTTGATAGAACTTTGGTTGTAAGAGGCTGCCTAATGTCCGAACGTAGACATCTCAGTGCCACTTGTAGACACCCCGTCATAGCTGAGGCATCTGCATTGGACTAGTAGATAATCACATGGGACTTGGAGGAGACATCATTCTGGGGGTCAGACAGAATATCCCAGGGCATACTAAATGGCTTATAAAAGGCACTAGGCCTAGGCAGCTGAGTCCAATTCGTTAGAAAGAACAATCTGAGAATAAAATAAACCAAGCCAGATTTCAGATTTTCAAAGACTCTCATTACTCTCTAGGCATGGCATCAAGCACTCAACGGCAGATTCTCTTTTGGAACGGGTGTTCTGGAGGGCTCCCGCCAAATGAAACAACTTTCGCCAGAATACTGCACCAGCAAGGTTATTCTACAGCGCTTGTAGGTATGAGACACAGCAACTTACCGCATTTACATTGCTTGTTATTCAAATGAGGCTGCTTCTGTAAATATTTTTCTTTGCCAGAATGTCTAGGATCGCTTAAACTCGAGTTTCTTGTATGCATAACTTTCAAAATCAGCAGGGTTTTTAGAATGCCCTCCACAAGCCCCCAGCGTCAGCACATCATATCCAATAAATACAAAATGAGGATGTATTGAATACATAGATGTACTCTGCAAATAGAAGTAAATGTGAATGAAGGAATCTTGTTTGCCCAGTACAGATTGCTTTAGGAAGAACCACCAGAGATATTCACTGATCTATTAAAGCAGAAAAATGTTTTCTGCCAGCTGGTACCCAGACACCACAGTGGTCTTAATTATATCTGGTGGATAGATTTTCTGTTATTTACGCATCCTGCTTATTATCACAGTTAAGAGTCTAAAAGTGCCTTATTTTCTGCAAAAAGAAACTCTGCCAAAAAAAAGCTGAAAGAGTCGCATTGACTTCAGTGTGTTTTGGATCAGAATACATGTCCAAAAAAAGAAAACCCTATTAATTCTTTGCTAATTTTGCCTGAACAGCCATTAAAGGCTGTGTCTTTCAAGCACCTCTCATTTTTAAGCTCTTTTTGATGTAGTCAAAGGTGTCATGTGCTTAATTGTAATTACTGTGATTTTCACACCTCTGCTCGGCTCTGGCACACTGAGGTGTCATTTAGTTCCTAAATTGAAGTGAATCTTAGCGATGTACTGAGTTCACATCAGCCTGTGGAAAGGGGTGAACTTTCCTTAGCTCCCCGCAGTCTGCTATAGCTTATACTGTAAACTGCATTCATATACACAAGTGCAGAGCTGGTTAGCAGTTCTCAGAAGTTGCTTGTGTGGGTAATAACCCCTAAGTCCATGGCTATAGTCCTTCAATGTCAGGATAATGACACTGCCCTGTAATATGACTTCATTAAGGTTCATTATCAGTATATGACATTCTGCTATGTCCAATTGTACTGGATAATTGGAATGGCCTATTTTTGCTACTTATTTTAGGATGAATATAGACACATGGAGCCAATATGCACACCTTCTTCCTGAAATTTGTTCCTGGACTGTGAAGGTCAGATAGAACTTGTGTGTAAAATAGTTCATATTTTTGCACTTAGCTCTTTCTTTTGGCACAAGGGTTTCTCTGGTTTCTCCCCATCAGCCATTCATGAATGGCTACTTCATCATGTGAAAAATATTAAGCACCAACTATTGCAACCCTATTTTTTCTTATTCAGGGAGGTGTCTGAGCTGGGCCATTGCCCTACATGGAATTTTAACAGATAGGTCAGAAAAAACAGCTGTTTTAAGCAGATAAAGTTCCAACGCATGATTGCTCCCCGAGCCTGTCACCTTTCCACACCAGCTCCTCCCTTGGCTGCACCTTAACTGAGGAGTACAGCCAACCCATTAGAAATACAGGTAGATAGGCCCAAGAGTAATGATGTTGGATTTAAGATCTTTGGTTTTTATTTTCAGGGAAGTGGCACATGGGTGTGAACTGCAAATCCCGCCGTGATCACTGCCACCATCCTTTAAATCATGGCTTTGATTATTTTTACGGCATGCCTTTTACCCTTTTGAATGAGTGTCAAGGCACAAATGACCCAGAACTGGCCAAGACTTTGCAAGATACATATTGGCTTTACACACAGATGATCATCCTTGCAGTTCTTACTCTTTTGATTGGAAAACTTGCCAATTTATTCTCAGTAAAATGGAAAATAATCATATGTCTGGTCATCTGCGGTTTCCTGTATTTCATCTCCTGGTTCTCCAGCTATGGTTTAACCAAGTACTGGAACTGTATCCTGATGAGAAACCATGATATCACTGAACAACCGATGAATCTAGAAAAAACTACTTCTAATATGCTGAAGGAGGCAGTTTTGTTCATTGAAAGGTAACCAACAAAAACTTTATCATGTTTTAAGGATTTTTAAAATGCCATTACTGTGTCATACACCTCAAGGTTAGGCAACTGGCATGCTGAATTACCCGTCCTGATGCTGGCCAGTAATTTGTTGTTTTCTGGCATCCCCCTATCCGTCAGCGTCCAACTACTGTCCTTCATCTTATATATAGCTTGTCAGCTCCTCAGGAAAAGGAAGATGATTTTTTTTTTTGTGTTTATGTTTTGTTCACCTAATATAAGAGTCCTGGCAAGGGACTGGGCCTTCTGCCAGCAAGAACAGAAAAATTATCTTAGCACGATGAAGGGACTGTCATAGAAAGTGTCATATGAAATTAGTATTTTAAAAACAGGAGGGTGATACTGAGTTTTGTTTTGTTTTCCAAAGTTGTCCTTCATTTACAGTACTATCAGTAACCTCAACTGGAATTGAACAAACCACAAAGTCTTTAAACGTATACACGTGTCAAGTCTGGGCATATCCTTGAATGAGATTATACTGTTTTGGTCAGGATTTAGGGGCTGTTTCTTTCATTTTTAAGGGAAATTGGAGGTAAAATAAATCCCGTCTGTAAAACTTTGAGCATAGATAATGTCAGGTTCCTAGGATATGCTGCCTGGCCTGATATTAAAGGGATATAGTTCCCCTGTGGGTGCAGTATCATATCTGCCTCTTCCATGAGGATGTCTCAGACACTCAGTGACATCCATGTTTAAGTTTAAGCAAGCAAGTTCTCCTTGCCTCTGAGAGTGTGTCAGCCTTTTGGCTGTGAACTTTCCTTGTTATTTATTTCATGTTCTACACATGTCTAATGGAACCAGAAAAAGAAAGGGCCCATTACTGTTTCTGTCTTAATACAGAACCAACATCTTTGAGGGGTGTTTTAATTCCCTGTCTTCCAAAACCTTGAAACTGCAAAGATGTCAAAATCAAAAATTTTTGGTTTAGACTACAATAATAATTTTTATTGAGATAGTCACTACAATACCACTTTTATCTTTTGGCTTGAGTGGCAGTTTGCAGAGAAATGACTATTGTTTTCTTTTATTTCAGAAACAAACATAGACCATTTCTTCTCTTTGTTTCCCTCTTACATGTTCACACCCCCCTCATTACCACAGAGAAGTTTCAGGGGAGAAGCAGGCATGGCCTATATGGAGATAACGTAGAGGAGATGGACTGGATGGTGGGTAAGTGGTCTTCTTGAAGAAAATCCTTCATTTATTTGAATGTGGAAAAGAAATTAAAGGGGTGGTCACAGAACTCCCTTTTTGCATACATCAAAAATCAGTGAACTTCCCTTGGATACACTCTGGAGTTAGCTCCAGAGATTGCCATTCCATTATCACACCTCTTGTTTTTCTTTCTTAAGTTGAAAGCTCAAACTTTTCTTGTGAGGATTTGTTCTTTTTTCTTTTTTTAATGGACACACTTCTGTGCTGCAGCATTAAATGCAGTCAAATAATCAAATATGTGCTTGATCATGTTGTTAATCAAAATGTATGACATTTCTGCAGCTCTGTCTAGTCCCAGAAGATATAAGTGTTATTACATTATATGGTGGTTGGTTTGTGTACTTGTTCATTTTTATCAAAGAATAATCCTTGGAGCAGAAACCAGAACTCCCTCCAAGCCAAAAGGCCAAATTAAAATCTATGGAGTTTCACTTCATAAATTGTGTGAAGTCCGTACATCATGAAGACTCACTTAGGTCTAAATCTAGGCTCTGAGTGCCAATAAGGTTTTTAAACCTTAAATTAGGATTTTAATTAGGTTTTTAAGCCTTACTTAGTCATTCCTTTCTGCTTCAATGGGAGGGAGGGAGATAGCTACTGTTTGTATTTAGTCAAAAGCGAAGACCCTATTGACAAAGTATTCACCTCGGTGAATACTCACCTCGCCTCAGTCAGTCCCCAAATCTTTTCTTCTTCCAATAATGATGTTTACGAAATTGTATTTTGAGAGGAGCCTGATTGCTTCTGATGGGTAGGCTGAGAACTCCTGCAAGTTCCAGTTGAACCAGAGGACTCTGCCATGCTCCTCTTCCAAATTTTTGGTACTAGTCACCTTCAGGCACAGGCTACACAAGCAGAGCTGGATAGCAGAAGCCCAATGGTGTAAAGAATATGCCTCATGTAGGCAAAACAGGATGGCAGATAGTCTTCAGAGCTGAACAGCTAAGTAAGAGATTTGGGGTCTAATTCAGAACCAATATGCCTAGACTCAATCTAAACTCTTTTTGGGGGAAGGTGTCTATTTTTAGGTAAGGTCAATAAGTAGTTTGACCAAGGAGACACAAGAAGTGTGTAAAGGAGAAGAGATTGAGTAAAAGAGCCCATCACTGGCTTGTGCTTTTTCCTTGTGTACTTCATCTTTTGCTGCTGCTTCTGTAGCTATGGAAGCTGTTTTTGGCAAATACATTTGATGCAGAAGATGATGAGGACAAGCAATCAAAGATAAATCATATTCTGTATAAATATTTGATGTTATCAGTACCAAAAACATTCCTTATGAAGTTCGGTTTTAATTACAGTCTATGAAGTTTTTACCACTGACATCAGAAAAAGATTTCAGTTGATAGTATGCGGGCTGATCTCAGAGTCTCTGTTCAGTTCCTGGTGAGACACAGCAGTTTTCTATGATTAGAAATCTAGGCAGCACTATTATTTAAGCTTTTAAAGATGCTTGAGGCCACACCATGGAGGCAATCCTTGACTCAAAGAATTTAAAGCATGAAGCTGACGGAGTATTCTGAGTAGATTGAATAAAAGGTTCGTTCATTTAAATTATTTTCCCATTGGTTTTATTTTTTATTTTCCTGTTTTTATAGACACCACAAACAAATTTTGGACACGTTCAGCAGCTTTCCATTGGGCTCATATTATTCAAAGATTACTCTTTGCATTGCTTATGGTAGCTCATAATGGAACTAGTTCAGATAGAATCATAGAATTGTCTAGGTTGGAAGAGACCCTTGGGATCATCGAGTACAACCATCTACCCTACTCTACAAAGTTCTCCCCTACACCATATCCGCCAACACCACATCTAAACAGCTCTTGGAATAAATGGGAAGACTTGGTCTTTGGTGAATTTTGAGTCAAGACCTAAAAGATTTGGCTGCATCTCCAGATATAATTATGATGCTTTGCTTTGTTTATAGGCAGGCTTCTGGATGCTATTGACAAAGAAGGCTTGAAGAATACCACATTTACTTATTTTGCATCTGATCATGGAGGATTCTTAGAGGCTCACAGAGGAAATACTCAGTTGGGTGGATGGAATGGGATCTATAAAGGTAACATTTTGGTAGTGTGTACATGCATAGGACATCCTTTTAAAAAGAGAATGATAGAATAAAATACATCTGAATAGACTATATTTACTATGTTATGTGCCAGGATTATAATAATGGATTGTAGGGCTACAGCAGATTCGGGGCATCAGCTATTCATCTTTCAGCTCCAAGACAGCTTTCCTTTCACCAAAGCTACTACTGACAGCTATATCGTCTAACCTATTCTTAAAGACCTTCAGTGATTCTCCAGATAATCCAGTTTTCATTGTCTGTGCTACTGGAGGTTTTTTCCTAGCACCTACATTGGATTTCCTTGCTGCAGTTTAAGCAACAGATCTTGCCCTATTCACCAACCTACAGAGAAGAGATTCTTCCTTTCTTCCTTGCCAACAGCCAGTTGTTACAAGGTCGTCATGTATTTCAATGCTGTTGTGTTCCCCCTCGTTCATCCTAAGATTCCAGTATACTTGTACCTCCTTCTGGTTGCGTGTTGTCTTTAAATATTGTAAGCATAGTATCTAATCCATAACCCAAAGCACTACTTGAAAATGTTGCAGTATCATAGAATCATGGAATATCTCAAGTGGGAAGGGATCCATAGGGATCATCGAGCCCAACCCTCTGCTCCTTGCAGGACTACCTAAAACTAAACCATATGACTAAGAGCATCATCCAGGTGCTCCTTGAACTCTGACAGGCTTGGTGCCATGACCACTGCCCTGGGGACCCTATTCCAGTGACCGACCACCCTCTCAGTGAAGAACCTTTTCCTGTTGTTCAATCTGAACTTCCCCTGGTGCAGATCCAGAACACGCTCTTTGGAGTCTCACTTGAAACACCCTTTTGTTTTTCACAGTAGACAATTATCTACACCAACACTGGCATATATCATGATGACTATTTTCTTGATATAGTTTTCCAGTTTCTCATCTATCATACAGGTGTTTTATCTAGACTCTCTTTCTATGACTGGCTTGCAACACAATGTCAAGAGCTCTATGGAAATGAAGATCTATGGTATCTCTTGCATGTGCTTCCTCCAGACTGCCAAGCCTCAAAAAGCCACTGTGACAGCTTGGGCAGCATGACACTCACTCTATAATGAAGCCTGAGCACTGCTCCCATCACTTAATTCTCTGCAGGAGAAGATTCAAGTGCCTTGGTCTTGCTCAGCATCGAAATACACATTGTCTAGTAGTAAGTTACTTGATAAGCCATACAAGCAGTGTTTGATACAGCTGGGATCTCATCCAAGATCAGTCCTAAGTGCTAAATTAGCCTTCAGTTCTGGATATGAAGTTTCTGTACCAGTAACAGATGCAAAAAGCCTCACTTGAATAGCTCAGAACCTAACATAGGGAATTCACTTCTACTAGCCTAACACAAGTATATGAGTAACAGGAGAATCCAGAGAGGAAAGGTGAATGGGGTTAGACAGAGATTTCAGTATGAGAGGACAATGATGAAATCATGAGAGGAGACAAGAGGAGATATTAAAAACAGAATAACAGTTTAGATACTAATAACTGAAAGGCATTCCCATTTATGTCCACATACAGCAGAACAGGGGACATTCCAATGAAACTATCTAGCAGCGACTCAGAGATTAAAAAGATCAGTTTAATTCCCAAATATCTGTAAAACTCACTGCTGCTATTGCTAACAGGATATTAAAAACAAGGAGATAGATATGCCACGCATTTGAATCATGAGAACAGCCACTAGTGAATAACAAAGCATGAAGATACTGTTATCTTACATAGCATAAAGATTGTTGCACAAACAGCTGGACTTGCACTGTTTATAATCCATCATGCCACCCTGTCAGCCTTTAAAACGAAGCTCTAGGAATCTTGCCTCTCCACTGTGACTATGAGCACACCTCCTCCATAGCAAAGTCTGGCATTACTTAGCAAAGCCAGAGGCTAGTATAAACTACCAACCAGCTGCTGATTTATTAGCTGAGCTTAAAAAGCTAGCTTCAAGTTTTGTCTGCCAATTTTCCTATAACACTTTCCAGCCATGACTTGTCATTTCTGCCTTTGATAGGAGGAATAACAGAGCAAAGGTCATATAAGTGCCTGAGCTTCAACATTTTGCAATTTTTGTTTTTCTAACTGGACCCTCAACTTGGAGTTCTGGCTTTAAACTACATTGTTTCATTAATATTCTTGTCCTTGACATATGTAATTCATATCTGTAATTAGTTAATGGTTCTTGCTTTGAAATACTGTTTGAAACAATTAATATTTTGACTTGCAAGAGAACCAATGCGTGAAGAAAAGAATTCAGAAGAACACTACAGGAATGCAAGAGAAACCAAGTTAAGGAATATTCTTTGGATTACCTCAAGGCAACTTCAACAGAAATGAAGGTGGAAAGTCTTCATCACTGCCGCATAGTCAGAGCACTCCCCTATTTACTGCACAAGTTCTGCACTCTTCCGTTTGGGACCACCTCGGAGCATCCCTGTGACTGTAAACTCCTGGAGGGTGACCAAACATTATCCTAATTCACCTCACTGCACTCCAGGACTGCAAATCATTTCATAGTGTTCCCGCTGCTTCTGATTGTCACCTGTCTCGCCACCAAGCTTGCCCTCTGTTAATCTCCCTTCCTCAGGCTCCAAGTGGGGCTGCAACCTCTATTCCATTGACACAAAGTCAGATTTTCCTTTTTATTAATAACAGAATTTTTTTCTCAGGCATGTTATTAGGGAGCGTGGAGATTATTCTCAGACACAATATTCAATTAAAATTATGGGTCAGAATGTCGGAGAGTGGAATTGTTCCTCTTCTGCCAAAAATACTGCTTAGTAGTGGGTTGCTATATGTGCCACCCAAGAAAGCCGTGTAAAATTAAAAGGTTAAAATACCTATTTTTGAAGAATGGAATTTGCACTGTAGTCATTCTACTGTTCTCCAGGATTTAGTGTGTTTTCATTAAAGTTATTTGAATATTCTAAAAGTTTTAAAACCTTTTATTATCCATGCATAATAAACATCTAATATCTTTTGTTCTTTTATCTTTTTTTGCTATTTTTGCCCCCACTCTCTAACAGGTGGAAAAGGAATGGGAGGCTGGGAAGGAGGGATCCGCGTCCCAGGAATAGTTAGCTGGCCAGGAGTGTTGCCTGCAGGGACAGTTATCAATGAACTGACAAGCCTTATGGACATTTTCCCAACAGTGGTTCACCTGGCTGGAGGGGTAGTGCCTCAGGACAGGTACAAAGGTGGCTTCATAAACCATACTTGCTCCCCCTTTCTTGATTTAGATAGAAGCTGGCAATGTATGTCACGCATCCGAACAGCCACAGATTAAATTCTGTTTGTTTCTTAACCAGGCAATTCTCTAGCTTTCTGCGTAGCTTTCCTCATCTTTTCTGCTTATATGGAAAAGGCAAAGGAAAACAGTATGTTTTATCAAGGGTCATTTAGCTAACTCAGTTTCCTAATCACTAAAAGGCAACCTGGTTGATTGGGACACTGGGATGGGTGAGTGTAAAAACAAAACCCCCGAAACCCTCTTTTAATCTTATTTTTTATAAAAAATCCACAGGTATTCACAAAGCCAGTTGGTCCTGTTAGATTACTAGGACAGGCCCTTTCCAAGACTAGGAAGCCTGTTTTTTTTTTTCATCAGTAGGGAAGGTGGAGCAAAGGGCACGTGGCCTGCATTTGGCTGCCAGGGCTGGAGAAGTTGCTTCCTCAATAGTAAAACATTTTGTAGCACCTGTGTTAGACTCCTCTAAAGAACATAAGAAAGCGTGGGCGGCTGAGTTGTTTGAGCAAACAGCATAAAGTACTGGTGGCGTGTAGCTAAACCAACTGTTAGTCAATTAAGGAAGTGGGGGTTTTGGGGCCTTTTTTGGGGGGGGGGGGTTGGGTTGTTTTTTGTTTTTTTTTAATGAAGCCTGAAGCTCACAGAGCTATCAGTGACTTCCATTTCAGGGAGCAAAATTACAAGCTGTGAACCATGCCTTCACTATGGTTATCACTTACTCCCAAGAAAATTACAGTAATGGTAACTTATCTCCCTAGGCAGGATGTGTGAACTAGCTGTAATTGCAAAAACTGCTAGTAACTGCTAATCACTGGTCTCCGCCCATCCAAACAATTAAAAATCTCAGGGCTCATTAGATAAACAGCAGCTTGGTTTAGAAACGGCACTTGAAATCCTAATGGTGCATACGTGGAGAGTGAGTACTGCTCACACTCCAGCTGCAGACTAAAGTTCTTCAGCAGTCTGGTGATTCCTGTGCTCTCCATCAGGGTCATCGATGGGCACACCTTGCTGCCTTTGCTGCAGGGGACAGTTCGGCACTCTGGGCACGAGTTCATGTTTCACTACTGCGGTGCGTTTCTGCATGCAGTGCGGTGGCATCAAAAGGACAGTGAGTATAAACATCCCCCCCCCCCCACCCCCGCAGATCAGAGATGAGGTAACAACCTCTAGCTTCCAATGGAGTATCACGTAAAAACATACGTATGCGTATCTGGAGTAAGTTTATTGCCTTAAACTCTCAGTTCTTCTGCAAGGTGCAGAAAGGCTTTGCTGTTAGCTGCCTTGCCTTGCCTGAGATGAAGGGGTTTCCTTCCTGGGTAGCATAGCTTCAAGAACCTCCCTGTCCTTGCAGTGTTTCTATTGCTTTTCCTGTGAAAGCATTCGGGATCAGTGTAAGATCGAAGAAAAAGGAACTGCATGCATAAGGTCTCTATCTTAAGCAGTAGTTTGTTTTCAATAGCCCTCTCTTATTTGTTTCATTTTTTTCCAGCTGTGGCATTAGACAAGCTGACAGCTGCAGCTGAAATGCTTTCCTGAGCTTTCTACAAGCACCCAATCTTTGCTGATGTCACCCTCCATTACAGTATTAAGGAGAATGGGCCAGTGACTGGTAGCTGTATCCTTATTCCTGCTTAGAAGGGAGGAAGGCATTTGTGTGACCAAACACAGGTGCCTGCGTCTGAGCTTGTTGTTTTACAGTCACTGAAGCAGCACAGATGTTTACAGGGTGTGATTCATAGATAGATTCACCTCCTTCTGATTAGCACATCTGGGCTAGATCAGTCACATCTGTTTCTCTCCACTGACTAAAAAGGGACCTAAGACTGACCATGTCTGATATAAAACTCACCCTTACATTAACTTCAAGTGAGTTGAGATGAACTGCACCTTCTGTGACTGGATAATGTGACAGTAAGGTGACGAATTCAGGGGGAAACGGTACTCAGGTTTTTTCATTATGCACAGCTGGAGAAAACGCAGAAGCTGATGGAGTAGGCTATGCCTACTCATCTTCCATCCTTTAGAAACTTAAATGAGACCCTTTAATTTTTGTTTTGCTTTCCCTATCTGTGAAGTGAGAGAAGAATTATGGAGTTCTTGGGAGATTGCGCTTAGGTAACAGCTACAAACACTAGGGCATTCCACCACCAGCAGTTGTTCATGTTCACTGCTATGTTGACAAGCAGCTGGCTGTTTGAAGAGCACTTTGAGGGCTGACCGTGGGGTGAGATAACCTCAGGCAGCCCAGCAGGAAATCCTTCTAATGTCACAGTGGTAACTGGGTGATCTTTCTCGTGGCCATTTACCTTTCCTTTATGATACTTTCTGATACAATGACAGTATCAAGTATAGATGATATCAAGCCAAGAAGCTACTTACTGAGTGAACACTTGAAGACTACAAAACTTACTTGTACTTGCAAATATTTTAAAATTGACTTCTCTGTTCCCCTAGATACACACACACACGAGACTATCAGGATAAAGGCTGAGAACTTTGCTGTCTGTCTTGTTGGCACTAACAAATACATACCAGAGTTGCAACACCCAACTTTTAGTCATGCTGCCAGTTTAACCTTGAGGTCAGTGCTCTTGTTGTCATACCACGTTTGACTCCTGGGCAGGAAGTCACTGCGCCAGGCTGACAGGAAACACGGAGGAAAAGGACTAAGGAATAAATGTGAGGATGTGATGCCAGCTGCTGCAGTGGAATTTTATTTTTAGGTTCTTGATCCCCAGAGATAAATCTGGGTACTTCATTCAAGGAAAAATGTATAAGCTATACAAGCCATGCAGTACTTGAGGAGCTAATCCCTTCAGGGTGAGATCCAGGACAATCCACACACTGCTGAAGGAGCTGTATGGTAGAAAATACAAAGTACAAAGGTGTTTCATAAACACAGTTCTTCCATGGAGCACATCATCTTCAAGCCCTCCAGGGAAGATTAGGTTTAGGGTTGGGTTTTTTTGTTTAGTTGGTTGGGTTGTTTTGTTTTTTTTTTCCTCTTGGGAATCCTCATTCTCTATTTTATTTGGAAAAATGATGCTGATAACATTTTTGTCAAAGACTAGGAAAGACACTGTTTCTTTAAAAGAAAAAAAAAACAAAGGAAGAAAGAAAGAAAAAGGAAAGCCCCACCTCTCTCTCCAAGGAGAGGAGGGAGAGAGAGAGAGAGACTTATCAGTCTAAAAAACTAAACTACTTTAATAAAATATTCATAATAAAATAAATAAAAAGAAAATAATGAAATATATACAAAACCAGTATCGAGCTCCCAGGGTGCTGATCACATCACCTGCGTGCACAGGGAAAGTCCCAGACAGGACTCAGCGACAGATGGCAACTGGATTCTGGATCCAGATTCAGGAATGCATGGATCGGGATCAAAGGCAGATGAACAGAGTCCTCCTCGGATGCTGGCCACTGACGCTTTGATCAGCTTTTATACTGAGCATGAGGCAGATAGGATGGAATATCCTGTTGGTCAGTTTGGGGCCACCTGTCCTGTCTGCTCCTCCCCACAGGTGGGCCTCCACTGCACTTTTCCACTTCTGACCCTCCAATGGGGCAAGTAACAAAGTTAGCTGCCTTGAGTGTTACAGCAATAAGTATAAGCAGGAACCTCTCTGCATACCATCCCTTGGCATAAAATTATAAATAATCAGGTCTTATCATTCTGGGAGCCAACAGTGTCTGGACAATAAGCTGTTAATTTCAGAGAGGTTAATTAGTTAGCAGAGTCTTAGCTGCAAAGTAAAATTACTGAACAGAAAATTGATTCTGTTTTACCTCCAACCAGGCCAGGCCTTCGCAGCCCTGCCAGGGCCATGGCAGTCGGGCAGAACAACTGCAGAGCGGGCGCCGGGCACAGCCACAAGCAGCTGGGGCTGGTGGGGGCAGCTGCCACTGGGGTTCGGGTGACCTGATACCACCGGTGATCCCAGGCTCAAGGCCAACATTTTGGCTGTCTCAACTAATTACTTATCTAAGGAGATCTGGACCCGATTGTTTCCTCTGTTTGTGCACACTCAAAATAGCTCATCTCTCAGTGACATGTACAAATCACTGCTCTGCATCTTTGCTCTTCCTGTGGAAATTTGGCCTCTGCAGTAATTACAAACCAACATTGGTTGAACCAACCCCATAACCTAATGCTTTAAGCACCCAGTTTTGGTTTAGGGGTTATCTCCCTTCCTTGCTGCCACGGTGGCTTTTTATTAAGCATATTAACTAATTTAAATATTTAAAACATAGGGGGGGGGGAAACACTGGAGGG